CCACTTCCCCTCAGCTTAGCTCTGCTCAGCCCGCTCAGCGCTGCTCAGCTTATTAAAGATGTCTTCCGCAGAGTGGTCCGGGGCGTGCTTAGCGTGCTGGGGAGGAGGGAGGGGGAAGGGTGGCTCCCCTCTTAGTCTAGGCGGGCGGGGAGGAGGGCAGGGCAGAGGGGCCGTTAAGTTTAAAGGCGCGGCGGGCCGCAAGGTACGAGCGGCGGCGAGCGGGTATGCATGCATCGAGGGGCATAAACTGAGAAGTTGAGGTCGTGATCCTCCTCCGAGAGGGGAAGGGGCTGGACGGAGTGAAGGAGGGGAGGGGGGGGGGGTACACCTCACCTTCCTGCGGTGTGCAGCACGGCGAAAAATAGAAAACACTAATGCTATAGTTGTGAAGCGCTAATAGCGGCTGTTATTGTAGGTTCAAATGCGAAGGCGGGAGGAGGCGGGGGGAGGGAGGGGTCGCTGAACCTGTCCTGTATGGTCCTCGCGACAGTGCCTGTTTGCCTACTTCTCGCGGGATGGCCAAACACAGGGGGGCCGCTCGCTGGCTGGGGTGACAGGACGGGAGAGGGGGGCAAGGCGGGGGGGATCTGCCAGCGACTGCCTCGGTAAACAACGTAGACAGGAGGAGACGCAGAGAGAAGCAAGCGGCAGCGTCTCAAGCCGGGAAAACGCTGTTTGCAGAGAATGCGGCCAAGTGTGAAAATTAAATCTGGGAATGTCGTCCACGCCAAGACGAATGCTTCATGCTCGACAAAAGGGAGCCGTGGCGGGGGTGGGGGGTGTATTTGCCGAGGGGAGCGCCGGGGACGGCCGGGACGGGCCTCAGCCGCCGGCGACGTCCACGTAGTCGTCGTCGTCCGGGGGCGCCTCCTGGTACTGCTGGTACTCGGCGATCAGGTCGCCCATGTTGCTCTCGGCCTCGGTGAACTCGGTCTCGTCCATGCCCTCGCCGATGTACCTGCGGGCACGGGGAGCGGGACGGCGCGCGCCTGCAGAGTCCGGGGTAGGCAACCCGGCCGGCGCGGCTGTGCGGCGGGCGGGGCGGCCTGCCGGGCGGCCATGCGGTAGAGAACTATACTGGGCTCCACCACGCGGGTGCCTAAAGTACAAGCGCACACCGACTTTTCTGTTCCTTCTCGATTTTTCTAGTGCTTCCAATATTTTCTGATTTTTCCTGATTTTTTTTCCTGTTTTTGTGGGCTAACTTTTTGAGTGGAGTACCCCTCGGGTGGTGGACCTCGCTGGGTGCGCTCACTCACCAGTGCAGGAAGGCCTTGCGGCGGAACATGGCGGAGAACTGCTCGCCGATGCGCTTGAAGATCTCCTGGATGGCGGTGGTGTTGCCGATGAAGGTGGCAGCCATGCGCAGCCCGCGCGGCGGTATGTCGCACACGGCCGTCTTGACGTTGTTGGGGATCCACTCGACAAAGTAGGGGCTGTTGCGGTTCTGCACGTTGAGCATCTGCTCGTCCACCTCCTGCGGGACAGGGCGGGGGGCTGCGGGAGGCGGCGCGGGCGGGCGCGCGCGAGAGAGAGTTGCGGGCGGACAGGCGCACTCACCTTCATGGACATCCTGCCCCTGAAGATGGCGGCCACGGTGAGGTAGCGGCCGTGGCGCGGGTCGCAGGCCGCCATCATGTTCTTGCTGTCGAACATCTGCGCGGTGAGCTCGGGCACCGTCACGTTCCGGTACTGCTGGCTGCCCCTGGACGTGAGCGGCACGAAGCCCGGCATGAAGAAGTGCAGGCGCGGGAAGGGCACCATGTTGACGGCGAGCTTGCGCAGGTCCGCGTTGAGCTGGCCGGGGAAGCGCAGGCAGGTGGTGACCCCGGACATGGCGGCCGAGATCAGGTGGTTCAGGTCCGCGTACGACGGGCAGCCCAGCTTGAGCGTGCGGTGGCAGATGTCGTACAGGGCCTCGTTGTCGATGCAGAACGTCTCGTCCGTGTTCTCTACCAGCTGGTGCACCGACAGCACCGAGTTGTACGGCTCCACCACCGTGTCCGAGACCTGTGGTGCGGTGAAAAGAACGACCCGGGATGAAAATTGGAGAAATTCAAGTCGGCTGAAGCGTAGCGACCTTCTTTTTCCGGTCAAATATTGTTGGAAATTTTGGCTCTCGCTGGCGACACGCCACGCCCTGCGGACGGATATATACGCCGGCACGACCCTACAACCTCAGGGTCCGTCGATGCTGTCTGATCTGAAAAGTTACATCTAGAGTACATGCGCACATACCGGCGCAGAGCTCAGGATGGCATCAACCTTGACCTCTTTTTGGAGAACACATTCGGGTTCATCAGGCTATCAGGCTCCTCTCAAGCTACGTGTGTTTTCTGATTTTGGCTTTTGCGACACGCCACGCTCTGTGGGCGCTTATATACGCGGCATGAAACCGCTGCCAGTCGCGTTTACTTTTATTCAATCAATTTTCAATCTGGAAATGTTTTATTGTTCCCCATTTTTGTCTGGAAAAGTTTTTAATTTTTCCGAAAAAAAAATGGACCTTAAAATCCACACTTCAGCATGTTGGAGTCGACCCGAGCGTACCTTGGGGCTGGGCACGATGCTGAACGTGTTGAGGACGCGGTCGGGGTACTCCTCGCGCACCTTGGCCAGCAGCAGCGTGCCCATGCCGGAGCCGGTGCCGCCGCCCAGCGAGTGCGTCATCTGGAAGCCCTGCAGCAGGTCGCACGCCTCGGCCTCCTTGCGCACCACGTCCAGGATCGTGTCCATCAGCTCGGCGCCCTCCGTGTAGTGGCCCTTGGCCCAGTTGTTGCCCGCGCCCGTCGACCCGAACACGAAGTTGTCCGGGTGGAAGAGCTGACCGAACGGCCCCGACCGGCACGTGTCCATGGTGCCCGGCTCCAGGTCCACCAGCACGGCCCGCGGCACGTACTTGCCGCCTGCAAGGCCGGACAATCAAAGCGAAGGAGGGGTACTTCACCCCAAAAAAACAAAGAATTGGGATTTTCTTTTTTGAAAAAGATCAGAAAAATAAAAAAAATAAAAATCAGAAAAAATGGAAACGAAAAAAATCAGAAAAATCAATGAATTGGGGTACACTTGAATTGACCCCACAGCTCACCGCGCCCCTCGTTGTAGTACACGTTGATGCGCTCGAGCTGCAGGGGGGACTCGCCGCAGTAGCGGCCCGTGGGGTCCACGCCGTGCTCGTCCGAGATCACCTCCCAGAACTGGCGACGAGACAAAGCTGTCGTTTACGACGTCGAATGCACCTTTCCGACTTTCTTTTTACATATTGTTTCGATGTCCCACTACGAATAACTCAAGTCGAGCAATCAACATGACGATGTTGTTGGATGTTGGATCCATCTATGTGTAGTTTTTAGATCGTACCTTACAGCCAATCTGGTTGCCGCACTGTCCCACCTGAATGTGAGCTATTTCGCGCATGTTTACAGTTTCGTTCGCTTTTAACAGAAAGTCTTTGTACGGGAAATTTTGTAAAAAGTGACTTGGTCAAAATTATGTATTTTTTTGGTTTGTTTGTTTTTATTGTTTTTCTAAAAATAGAGCCCTCTGTGGGGCGGGGCCTCCATCACCACATCACAGTGCGTTTGTTGGAGCGGCGGTGGCCAGCGGCCAGCCCAGCCCGGCCACCCACCATTCCAACCACATCGAACGGGGAAAGAACGGTTAGCAAATCAGCAGCAAAGCACCGCGCCGCAGAGGACCACCTGAGCAAAGGATAACTGCTCGCCGAGGGGGTGGGGGCAGGCGGGTGTGTGAGCGGCCGTGACCGCGCCTCGGGGAAGGTTTGGCAGTCCCGGGCACTGTGTAGCGCAGTGGGGCGCTTTGTTTTTATTTTAAAGCAGGTGATACATGATAGTAAATATAATACATGTATGGTTCGTGCGTTGGCCGGCACAGAACTCGTATGCATCTGTCAGCAATTTCACTACAACCAATCTAACAGTATACAGTGCAACACTTCACAATTTGAGTGGGATTTTCAACCCCACCTGGAGTGTGCCATTTGCTGGCGTAGTGAGAAGAAGAATGCGCGTCGGCTTGTTGGAAAGCCATCGTCTATTTGCAGCAGACGTGTCGCAGAAGCACGCCGTCGTGAGAGCGCGCGTGCACAGAGGCGACGGCCTGGTCGCACAGCGCGCAGTCCTCCTCCTTCTCCCCGCCCTCCTTCCGGGCGTGTCGGTGGAAGACGGGGTAGCCCGGCTCCCTCCCGCCCCACGGCACGACGCCCTCACGCGGCTCGTCGTCGCCGTCCTCGCCGTACTTTCTTGTCCACAGGAAGGCCGCGTGCAGCGGCGCGGGGGCGCGGCGCACCAGCGCCTGCAGCACCGGCCCCAGCTGGTCGACCCGCACGCACTCTGCAGACACGAGACAACGGGTTGTCGGCACTGTGATGTTATACGATAAACATTCCGAAGGAGCTGTGAGACAAGTACCCCTCACCCCAACTACGACCATTATGGGAGCAAGTCCTGTACTCACCCTTGCAGTGGCAGGGGGTTGGCGCCTTGCAGTAGCCGTCGCCTTTGATGAGCAGCTGCTCCAGGGCGGGGATGGATGCGGCGGGGAGGTCGAACAGGTCGGGCGCGAAGACGGCCCGCATCATCGTCGTGAGCGAGCGCAGGTGGGGGAGGCCCGCCAGCACCAGATCGAGCTGCCGCATGAAGTCTCGTGGCTCGTCCAGGACGAGGTGCTGCAGGCGGCCGAGCCCGCCCACCCCCAGGGCGGCGAACGTCTCCGGACGGAAAAGATGAAGCTCGAGGAGTGCGCAGGGGGTCGACCAGGACCTCAAGAAGTCGTCAACCTGTCAGGTGGACAATGGAAGAATCGGACGATCAGGAGGATTTGGAGAGTGCCCCCCCCCCTTTTTTCCTCTGGGGCTGGAGTTCGAGCTCAGTTCCCGACCGCAGCAATATGTCCGTCCAATCGCGTACCTCCTCTACACCGTCTTCGTCCTCGAGGCGCCGCTGGTTGATCTTGAGCTCCTCTCCGGCCATCCGCCGGATGAGCGCCGTCACGCCCTTGGCCGGCGGCACGCTCAGGCGGTGAAGCGCGCCGGGGGAGCAAGCGTCGATGAGCGGCACCAGTTTTGGAGCGTTAACTTCGACACAGCGCAGCTGCCCGCTGCAGAGCAATAAAGTCGGGGGGGTTCGAACAGAGGCCAAAGTGCAAGGCAAAGCGAGTGAATGCCATATACCGACCGCGCGTTTACCTGTGCGCTTGCAGCAGCGATCGAAGCGCCTCCAAGCCGACGGCCAGAGTCTGCGGCATTCCAAAGTCAACACTCCTCGCCTCCACGATCACGGTGTGCAGTCTTGGCAACACCGACGCCTGCAGACAGAGAGAGCGGCAAGTAGTACGAGGCTGAGGGGGGCGCCAGCCAAGGGGTCCTTCACTATAAATTGTAGCGTACTCCGATTTTTCTGTTTTTCTCGATTTTTTGTGATTTTCTCTTGATTTTTTGTGATGTTTTGTAATTTTTTGTGATTTTTTTTCTGACTCCGTTAATTTTTTATGATTTTTTCGTGATTTTTTCATGATTTTTAATGTTTTTTCGTGATTTTTTCTAAGGGTGTAGACTGATATTTTTTTTAAAGTGAAGAACCCCTCGGCACCAGCCCTAGCCCCGCCCCGCCCGACAGCATGCCCATACCTGCGGCCACGTAAAACTGGCTTCCTCCAGGAGGGTCCAGTCCTGGACGCGAAGCGTCTCAAGGCAGCGGGCGTCCTGCAAGCTGCCCACGCTCGAGCCTAAGACAACGTCCAGCGGTGTCCCTCCAATCACGTCCAGGTGCCTGAGGCTCGCGCTGGTCTCCCGCAGGACCTGGACGACAACCTCTGGCGTGTCGGTGCTGGTGTCGCAGACCACCTTCACCCCGTTGCTGTGAGCAGCAGAGCGTATTCTGTTACAAAGTCGTCGTCGTCGTGACCGACGCAACAGACGAGTGCAAACTGCAAAGTACTGACCGAGAGCTCTCGAAGCGAAACGAGTCTCCCTCGTCCTCGTCGGGATGGAAGTATCTCGTTTGTACCGTGAGTCGGTCGACCGGCGGCGCGACCCGCAACAGGAAAATGAGGCCCCGGACGTCCCTGAACGTGGCCCCTATGGTCCACGGTCCGCGACACCACAGCGCCGTGCTCGCCCTGCTGAACGCCGCCAGCGTCGGGATCGCCAGCCCCAGGGCCATCAGGTCGTTCACGTCCAGGTAGGACAACACGCGAAGCAGCGCCACATCGGGCAGCTCCAGGAGACCCACCTGTGGGCAGAGCAGAGCAGTGTCAGTAAGCGACGAGGTGAGTGGGCAATGCTCACACGAGAGCAAGCGCGGTCTTGTAGGGGGGACAAATGAGTTTTTCCTAAGTCCCTAGGCATTCTTCGGCTTCCCAAACAGACGCGAAGTCACACAGCACAGGTGTTTCAAAAGTTAAGCCTTTAAGCACCTTAATCCTGCATTAAGGCAGCTTTATAGGGTTTTGCTACATTTTAGACCGATCCCAAGACTGCCTCTACCAGAATGCAAAGTGCCCCCTCCCCCTCCCTAGAACAATACCACACGGACGCTTGTGTTTTTTTTTTGTTTTTTTTTTTCCAGAACCCGGCTCCTCTTTGGGATTGAACCGAATCACTCTACCTACCTGCACATTCTCAGCGACTGCTTCCGTCGCCGTCGCTTCGGCGGCAGTCGTGGACTTTTGGGGTGGCCGGTTCCGGACGACCCATGACCGTGTCTTGCTCGCCCGGGGCGGTTGCGACCGGGTCGGACGCGGTGGCGGTGGAGGCATGCCTGCCTCTCCACTCCACCGCCTCGTGAAGCCCCTGAGGTTTAAAGACCTCCACGTAACCTGACATCAATATAACACTTGTGTAAAGTCTCAATTAGAAGTACCGGGTGTGCCAGATCGGACGCTGCAGTGTTGCGGGTTTGCCTACTCCCGGCGCCCGTAAGGTCCAAGAGGATATGCAATCCCGCAACACTGCAGCGCATCCCCTCTGATACACCCGGTGCACGGTATACAGTCCAAGGCGGCACTTTCTCGACACCAGCTTTACCTACCAGGTGGCTGATTCACGCCGCACACTTCCGTGGGTATACAACTGTACCGCATGCACGAGTGCGGGCGGGCTTGCCTATCGCCCCTGTCCACGGCGCCTTACGAGCCGAGCGAGTAGGCAACCCGCCCGCACGCGTGCATGCGGTACAATATAACTATGGAAGTGCGCGGCGTGCGGCGTGAATCAGCCACCTAGTGCATCTAAAGAAGAATTGGCTGTTTTCACGCGTATTGGCGCTATCGTACGCTTACGTAAGCG